TTTCTGCGAGGTCGTGGTATCACTCCGGCCGAGCCGGTATAGTCATATTGAGACACGGGGTTTTAGTGACCGAGCGATATGTAGTTGATAATTAATAAAATTTTAATATGAAAACATAATGATATTGGTTTACCAATAAGCACATACATAAAATATGTAGATAGATGCTGTTTTGTAACTTTTAGTTGGCCTTGTTGGTGAAACGACCACACAGGAGCTTGGCAGAAGTCTCACAAATATCTCTGATAACTTCTACCTCTCTGATGACAAATTTATTCTACTCTAGCGCCATCTCATGGCATACGAGGAGCTCTCATCTCATCTCCCTCATCTATGGCATATGGAGCTATGTCATATTTTTTTAATTGAGTTTTTTCCTTAATCAAAACGAAATAATTTCAACTGTTAAAATAATCACACTTTCATTAATTGATTATATGACCAACTTAATTTTGATATTTTTCCAGCGATTTTTTAAGATATTATGTATGCTGTTTGACGCTAAAAAAACGCGACGTCACAATACACAATCTCGTACAAAAATCATAGAAAACTGTCGTTTTTGACAGTTCGAAAAAAGTATTGAATTTGACTAGGTCGTTGAAAATCTATTGTAGATTAAAAATTTCTCTCTTATATCGAACTAAAATAAAAAATAGATATTAGGGAAAACTGGTCCTTCTGTTTCTTACCTGCACAGTAAAAACAAACGGTATTGATTGTACCTCTCACAAGGCATTACGTTAAAACATCGTAAGTAAGACTTAACTTTGTCATAAGCAGTGTAAGTAGTTTTAAACTTTAATTCACAACAATTGGGTAGTTTCCAGGGTAGCAAAATTAAAAATCCAATTACCTAGTCCGTCAGATAGATAATGAAAAAATATTAGACACGTATTTTTTTTTATTTTGTCGTATTAAGTTGCAATACTAAGATAAAATGGCGCTAAGTTTAGGAGTGGGAGGTCGTTACGTCATAACGTGCTACAAAATGTGGCACCCTGTGACGTCATACGATATTTCAAATTATTATATCGTCGAAAGTATTTAATTTTGTGAGAAAAGAAAAAATACGTGTCTAAAGTTTTAAATTAATGTACCAGATGGACATTAAAATAAAAATTGGGAAACTACCCTATTATGTTGAATAGCTTATTGTTCAATTTCATTTTTGTTGCGTATCTTGCGCGTAAAAAGTGAGAATGTTTGGATTGTCAAAAAAAATCAGTATTAAAACTATAATAATTTGATATTGCAAAAAAAAAACAATTGCTAAGAAGGGCCGAACAGATTAATCCATTTATCCCTTGTTTTTTCTTCACCAACTGCCTCGTTGGCCAAGTGGTCGAAAGAGCGTTTGTCGGGCAAAGGATCTTGGGTTCGATTCCCGGTACGGGCAGAATATTACTGTTTTTTTTAAACGCTCTGTTGTAGCGTGGAGTCTGCAATTGTGCCCGGTATATGGCAATAGGCTCATCCCCTATTACATGGGACTCATAACATAAATAGTGAAAAGTGGGTGTTACATTGTACGTTGGCACAGAAATAAAGAAATACCGTTTACCACGACATACACGTAGACAAGATAGGTATGTACACACAAAAATAATTATCTATATACCTACAGCAGATAGTTTTTTTTTTTAAAGTTGCCCCACATTCTGATTTTCTCCTGTGTCGTAGGTGCGTTTACAAACATACAAGTTCACATACACATCACATACAGACACGAAACAACAATCTGTGGATCACACAAAGTGTTGTTCCGTGTGGGAATGGAACCCGCGACACGTTGCACGGCAGCCGGTTGCCCAGCCGCCAACCTTGCACCAATAGTGGTTTGGTTCTTAGTATTCATTAAATATTGCATTTCCTGCTATTTTTTGCTACATAGAATGTTAAACCGCAATGATTTGAATCAGATAATAATGTAATGTATGATTTGTTATCCGGAACTGTTCATAAATGGATTGCAAAAAAGATCTCCTCATCGCTTTGGTTTCCTGGTACCTTAATTTTGTTTTTAATGCTAAGTAGTAAT